CTTTGCTGTCTATTTTCTTTTAGTGCATTATTCCTCATATTTAGTTTTAAGAATAAATATTTCAGAGAGCTAGAATATAGGTTTGGTTCGCCGAACAAATTTATTTGAAGTGCTTCTATAAATTTATTCAAATAAATTTGTGAAGATCATTGTATCTTGGGAGATAGACGCCACTCAACCGTAAGCACCATAGCGGGGCGAATCTGTCTTAAGGACAGAGTGTCACACACTCGACTTGGTCTTAAATTATTTATTCGGTTCAACGAAATAAATTCGGTATATTATTTATTTATTTTGTTTGAATTTTTTCAAGTTATTTTATTTACACAGAAGATTGTTCTAACAGAGGGTACACCAAGGCCTTAATTTATCTTTTGATCAGTAAAGAAAAATTTACTAATGAATCAAAAGATTAGAATGTGAGAAATCAAATGAAACATCGGAAGCACTAGGGAAGAAAAACATGCCTTCACTTATTATTATTTTTGTTTTGGTTGTCCATCCAAATGAATCTGAATGTGTAATTTTTCCTTTTCTTTCATGATCCCTTTCTTGTACAAGTTAAGGATCCCACTTCCATAAAGAAGCAAAGTACCAAACTTACAAAGAAGCAAAGAACCAACTTTTCTACCTATTCGAAATGTAATCTGATTAAGTTTCTCTATACCATTTTGGCATCTTTCCTCAACATTGATCTCACCTACATTCAATGCCAATCAGTAAAAAACACGAGAAAAAAAGAGAGAAAGAAATAAAAAAAGAGAAAAAGAAAAATGCAAATTAATCATTATATGCTGTCTTTGGGAGGGCACATGTTTAGATTTGGCATTTTAATTTTGTGGTCAAAACACATGTAACTCTAAATCAAGAAAATTTATGGAAAAAATTTAAAAAACAATATCCTTTTATACCAACACAATACTATTATTATTAACTAAATATTCTCTATCAACATAGTTAAATATGAAATATCATTAAGCATACTATCATCTCTGAATTAATTTTCCAAAAATGGGAATTTCCTCTATCTACTGAAGTTAAACATTAGAAATTTTGCTTGATACTTCCACATGATATAAAATAACATTTATGATAAACTCAACATTAAAATGTCAAGTGTGATGTTTTTATTTATTTTTTAATACGTATGATCAAGCAACTAGCTAAAAAATCAAATTTCATTCTATTACGCAGTTGGGTTTTAGCGAATTTCATCCCTAAAAATACACATTCCAATGTTTTGAAACATGTAATATTAATAATAATAACATATATAACTCATTTCAATAATCACTATCAAATTTGATGAATTATTTTCCAAAATATATAATGTCAAACACAGTCAATTTTTCATTAGCAGATAAACAAACAAGAATGGATGATGAAACAAGGAGAATCAACAAATTAAAGTTTGATGTATAAGAAAAAATAAATGACACCACACAGGGCAAAAATGAAGAACACTAAATTATATTGGTACTTCTTATATTTTGCTCTTTATGTCATTTTGATTGTTACAGTTTAAATTTACTCACTCAACCAATTCAGTGATCATTTTTCGTCAAAAATAGAAACGGTATTATCAATTGGACCCAATTGATACAAACCGAGTTTAGCAAACTCATAATCTTTCCCCTAAAAGTATGACACATGCAACTTATTTGTGTATTTTTCATTTAAAAATGTTAACATTTGTAATCAATTGAATTAAATTGAAATAAAGTCATAAATTCATGTTTAAAATCGAATTAATTGAAATTATAGAGATCAAAATAATACAATAAACAAAATATAAAGACTACTTACATAATTCCCCAAAGAAAATGATAACAAACAAGCGCATTAGAACAATAAATACTATATATAATTAATAGCACACGTTGAAAACACTAGGGTATGCCCTAAGGAAAAAGCATACATAAAGAGAGAAAGAGGACAACCAAACACTTTGTTCCAAAAAAAAGAAAAAAAAAAAGAAAAAGAGGACAACCAAACTTTGTTCAAAAAAATTAAAAAAAAAAAGGACAACCAAACACAACACATAAAAAATAAAACTCAAAACTGATATCTCATAAAAATAACTCACAAATGACAAAACAAAACAATAATAGAAACCAAGAATCAGACTGTATAGCCACTCACACCTCTTTGTTAACCCCTTGTGCTAGCCAATGCATAACTCACAAATGACAAAACAAAACAATAATAGAAACCAAGAATCAGACTGTATAGCAACTCACACCTCTTTGTTAACCCCTTGTGCTAGCCAATGCATGATCCCTTCTAGTCCTAAATGAGCAATATTTGATAAATATATTTTTTTTGAACTTTATTGAGAAGTTGGTAAAGAAGAAATTAAATTAAAAAATAGATCTTCTATATATTAACTAACTGGGAATTTTTGTTTGTTTGTTTATTTATTTATTTTTATATTAATAAAATTCAATTAGAAAAAGAAAATGTTTGAGACTCACAACAAATTCTCACTATTTGACCCACACAAAGTATAATCAGTGTCAACTTTTAATTAGTTACACACTCAATGATATAATGCTTACCTTTCTTATTATATCATTGTGAGTGAATTTATGGATTTAAAATGTAGGTCTCTAACATTACTCATTAGAAAATTATGTTCAAAAATTTGTCCAAGAATTAATTTAGGGGTGCCAACCCTTTACATTGCTTTGAAATTTTGTCCTATAAGAAACTGTAACATTACTACAATGTACAGAGATTTTGAATTGTAGTAATTCTAATTTGACATTGTGGTTGTGTAGTATTTTTTGTGAAATGAGATCTTAGGTTCTTCTCTTATAAAGAAGAGTTTGATATCTTTTATGATGATTAATTTATTTCTTTTCCATTATGAGAGCTGTATGTGAAAACTAGAAGTTGTTCGGCTTGACTTGGTGGGTTTAGTGGATTGGTTGTTAAATTTTATTAACTTTTTAACTATTGGGAGTTAGTGGCCTATTTGATTATGTAAATATTTTTTTAGAATGTAATTAATCTCCTATCTATTGGTAAGAAAATAAAAAAAATCAGGTATGCAAAGCTATGTTATTGGTAGAAATTTGATTGTAAAGACTTGCAAGTGAGGGAGGATTGGATTAAGCCAGGGGACTCCACATGGGAGCTGACCCATTAAGCTATCAAAAATTATTTGAAAAAAATATTTATATTGTTAATATTTTATTTAATATAGCTTAATTCAATTAAAAAGTTAAGTGATCTCATCAAATAGGGATCAATATTCATTATACGCCTATTGTTTCAGAAGTTTTAAATTATTCTGTTTGAGTTTTTTATTTTTCATTATTTATTTATTTTTATCTTTAGTCACCTTTTTAAATATTTTAAGAATTTTCTTTTATAAATTTTTTAGATCCACTTAATCTAGTACATTTAAAAAAAAATTGTGAAAAATATTTAAAAAAATCACTAAATAAGAAAAAGAGAAAATTGGTGAAAAGTCTATTTTAAAAAGGGTGTAAGGCATTAGATCTCATGAGTATTTTTCTTTGGTAAGAAGTACACTCTTTGTGAAATATTGTGGTGAGAAATATATTTTATTAGTTTGGAGAACATTTTGTTTTTAATTTTACCCTATAACCTATCTATTGAAAGTTCATTTATTTTGAACCTATCTGTTGAAATTTTTTTATCTGTTCAATTTTTATGAAACTGTCTGTTGAAATATTTTTTATTTGTTCAATTTTTATGAACCTATTTGTTGAAATATTTTTTATTTGTTCAATTTTTTTGAACCTATCTATTCAATTTTTTTGAACCTATCTATTCAATTTTTTTTAATCTATCTATTGAAATTTATCAAGCATATTTCTCATATCTATTGAAATTCACCAAGCCTATTTTTCCCTTATTTGTTGAAATTTTACCAAATAAATTATCTGTTGAATATCTCTGCCCTACTCAGATCAGTTCCCTTATTTGTTGAATTTTTTTCTTTCTATATGTACAAATTGATTTCTCACACACACACACACAGATTTTTCCTATCTATTTAATTTTTTACTTTTATCTGTTTAAGGAGTCTGGGAAGTTGGCTATTTGAGTAGGCTTTAGTTTTAGGTTATTTTAGTAGTCTAAAATAGTTGTGTTTATTCACAAAAAAAAAAAAAAAAAAATAGTTGTGTTTGGAAAGAGGGTTCGATTTTTTTTTTGTAATTGGATGTGATGTTTTTGAGAGAAAAAGTAAAATAATTATGGATTTGATTTGATATTTTGTTTAAACTTATTTTATTTTTTTATGTTATTTTAGCCAAAAGATCAAAAAAATTTGTTTCCGTACACCCCATAGTGAGAGAGAGAGAGAGAAAGTAGGCACTTGTGAGAGAGGAATGCACTTGTGAGAGATAGAGAGGAGAGGAAAGTAGGTGATTTAGAGAGAGAAGGGGGTTGGTGATTGTGAGAGAGAGAGAGAGAGAGAGAGGATATTGATTGAACAGACCCACGTGGATCCGAATGTTTTGTAGAAGTATGTCTTTATAAATATAATAATTTAGCGCGGACTCTTAAATTCAAGAAATTTATAATTGGGCTTATGGATCGAGTGTTTTAAAAAAAAATATAAAAATTCACTAAATTTTTATTTATTTTATTATTTTTTATAAATATTTTACTTTTAAAATATATTTAAGTTAGTTACATAAAAAAATTAAATAAAATTTTAAATTTTTTTTAAAGATAACAAAGCACGAAAAATAAAAAAGTTCAACTATTTTGAAAACTCAAAACTAAACAAAGCAAAGCAAATGTTGTTCAGTTCTTATAGAATTTTGTAAAATTTAAATTTGTAGAGTGATCTCATTTATAAAAATTCTTGAAGTCACCACCGGATTAAGCATCCCATAAATTGCTTCCACAAATAAGCAAAGAATCACATATTTGTACTGTTGTTGGCGTAGAGAAAGCAAACATACTTTTCTTGAAATAAGGTTTAAGAATTATTTATTCGATATAAATTGAGACATGCATAAGCACAGATGGTATAGCACAATGAAATTAGTCCTTATTACAAATAAGTGAGCTATTAAATAATAGTAAACAGATTTGTTTCTTTTTGAAAGTCTCTGTTGAAGAAGAAGGATACTAAGGAGAGGTCTTCCTGAAGTCAACATATTGATTTACTGCATATCCTGTAAGTTTTCATCACACTATCCTCTAATTCTTGTTGAATTTTTTATGCCAATTCCTCTAAATGTTTAAGTTGTTAAAAAGAGGGGTAATTTTATTATTTATGTTATATTCTCAACCCACCCTCATGTGGTGGAATTTATTTATTTATTTGTTTTTCATAATGAGCAAACACGTGAAAGCATTTTAATTATCAGATGGATAGTGAGGTTCAAATACAGAACCTAAGTCATATTAACAAAGAAAGATCCAAGGCATGAATGTCCAACTCTGCTAAAGTAGCTCTGATGCCTATCCAAATTGAGTTGAAGTGATGGTTTTAAAGTATCTGGAATAGATTTCAAAGGAAAGGAAGAATTTTGCAGAGTTGGACCAGATTATCAAGGCAAGAATTCACATGATAAGTATCGTAAGCAATGATGCTGCTTCGATTTTTTGATAAAGGAATTTCAGAGCCATGGCGCTCTTTCCTTTTCTTTGAGGGTCAAATTTGACTTGGAGGTTGCTTTAGTATGAGTTTAGTATGTTCATTGTAGGATGTTCTGGAATTGCAGTTGGTTTGAAATTCCATTTGATATGGGATTTCTGATAGTGGCTTTTTGCTTTCTAATTCCTTTTGGCGTAGCTTTCAGTTCATTGCTCGTTGTTGGTTTTGTTTCTTTTAGGTGACTTTCATGTTGATTGTTTGTGGCTAGGTTGTCATATTTTATTGTTCTGTCAAGTGTTAGGCTTTATTAGTATAGTTCATGATAAGCTTGGTACATGTGTCAACTTCTTGATATATGTTTCTAGACCTTTGATGCTATTTTCTTGTCTACTTTTTATTGATTTAATTTATTTGTACTCCATACTTTATTTTACATCAGTAAATTTTTTTTGTTGATAAAAAAAAAAAGTTCAAATATAAAGTTGAAAAAATTTGAGGGGACCGTGAAGCTCACCATGGGTTTTATTTCGAACCGTTTATTTTCTAAGATTCTCAATGTAGGGTGATTATTGGGTATTCTCGGAGTACGGCCACATGGTTCTCTATAATATTATGATTAGGTCAATCAAATACTTGTAATCTTTTTATTTTATCACACTTGTTTCCTAAAAATTAGACAACAAGATTGAATTTGAAAATAGATTATTCCTTTTTTTTTTAAGAGACAAACACGATAAAATAAAAATACTATTTATAATTTTCTCAAACCTCAGAAGAAGTGTAATTTACTTTAAAATAAATAAATAAATAAATAACATCTTCCTTTTAGTTATCTCCATCTACCACAATAAAAATGTGGTCATCCAAATTTATTTCAAAATATGGTCACTAAAAAGTAGTGTGCTTTAGAAATTAGGAAAATTACATTGACCTCCCTTAAGGTTTGTCTTAATTATAGGTATCTCCCTTGTTGTTTCAAAAATAACACAGACCTCCCTTACTTTTGAAACTAATATACAAAGACCCCATTCTGTTACCCATCCGTCCAAATTCAAATAGATTATGCTGATGTCATCCATAATTATTCTTCAAGTTCCAATACTACCCTTTAGGGGAGGTAAGTGTAATTTACCTATATATATATAAACACATACATTTCATCTCTCTTCCCTCTCACTCTCTCTCTCTGCTCTGTTTCTCTCCCTCTCACTATTTCTCTTCCATCTCTCTGTGCTATCTTCCCATCTTCTCTCTCTCTCTCTCTCTCTCTCTCTCTCTCTCTCTCCATTTCTTTAGAAATTTTTGTCGTCAACTCAGTGTAGCTTCGTCTCCACCGTCTGATCTCAATCTAGTAATTTTCTTCAATACCTAGAAAATTGCTAGTCTTCTTCAACCTTAGAGCTCTCTTCTATGTGTTCCATCATCTTCGGTTCCACAATCGGAGACTAATCCTTTGCCAAAGAACAACGATGTCGTTGCTGGAGCTTCGAAATCGCCGGAACACGATTCATCAAAATTGCTTCTAAAAGCTCTGCTTGATTGTTTTCGATTTGCATAGTCTGAACCAGAAAAGGCTTGAAATCACTGATACAAGTTCGAGAATAGGTGAGCGAAGATGGAGATCCAATTGAGAGAGTGGGTTTTTACTTCACTGAAGCTCTCTACTCCAGAGTCTCACACCAAGCTGAAAAGACCCTCTCTCTCTCTCTCCCTCTATATATATACATATATATATAAGAATGAATGAGAGAGGTTTTTTTTTTTTACCTTAAGGGTTGGGTTTTACACAAAAACCCCAATTGATCAAGATTTGGTACCTCCTTGGTTTAGGACAAAGAAATTCAATGACAGATATTCAATTGCTATTGGAATTAGATCAAAGAGTTCAGGCAAGATTGATAGGAATTCTTGCCCTAATCTTGATTCTAAGTTTGTGAATGGAAATGGGTTTTCTTCGGGAGAAATTGCAGAGATGGTTTCTGCCATTAAGATGTTGGGAGAAGGGTTTGTGAAGATGGAGAAGATGAAGATAGAGAAGGGTCAGTTGTGTCTTTTCACAATGTGGTTCAAGGGCATTATGGTTGATTCGGTTGTCAAGTTAACGTCGTTTATGTTGTTTTAACGGAAATAGGGAATCTGTGTATTATTTTCAAAAGTATGAGAGGTCAGTATAATTTTTGAAACTACATGGGAGGTACCTGTAATTAAGGTAAACCTCGAAGGAGATCAGTGTAATTTACCTTAGAAATTTAAAAAACAACAAATGTTCATTTGCCAGAAAAACAACGAATATGGTTACAAATTTGGCAATTGTCTTGATCAACATCCAGAGAGAAGAAGAAAGAAAGAAAGAAAGAAGTTACTTATTGGTTTAAGTACTAAAATCTAATTTTCGAAAAGGAAAATGATATATAAGCTTATTTTTTAAATTTATTTTCTAAATTCAATGATGTGTAAAAAAAAATGATTTGTTAATAATTAGAGAAACTATGACAGAGAAAGTTATCTTAAATATTCTAATTGATTGTAATATCATTGAATTTGAAAATTAGGTCTAACTTTTAGACTTGAATAACAGTATTATTTTGAAAAAAGGTAAAAAGATCAAAGGCATTTATCTACGGGTGCAACTCGGGTGGGTTTGGAAGTTGTCCAAGCCCAGCCCAAGTTGTGCAGAGACTTGCCCAGGCCCACCCAGGCCCGAATTGTACCCTGAGGTTGCCTGCCCAAGACTGACCCGAATTGCCTGAGTTGCCTGAATTATAAATGAATTTCAGTTTTTTTTATAAACATTATTAAATTATTAAAATTTGACTCTATTTACATTTTTTTAATAGAAAATCATTAATACCATCAAAAAAAATAATTTATATAATGTAAGAGAGATGCCGCTATAGTAGTCTTTACAATTTATGAGTGAAAATAAAAAAGTAAGATTTTATTAAATTTGTATATATAATATATATTCAATATGGTTTAATAATCTAAATTACTTTAATATCATGTAATGACTAATAATTTATATGTATATTTAATATTTTTATATATCTATATATGTATAATTTGAGCTTCAGATTGCTCGGGTTATTTGACGTCTTTACCCAAATCCGTCCAAATTTAATTCAGGTTTATGAATTTTTGCCTAAACCCATACCGAATTTGAAAATATCTTATTCAAGTCCTAAAAAAATTCAAGCTGGGTTTCGGTTATTCGGGTTGAACTCACCCAAGTTGCACCCCTACATTTATCCTCTTCAATTAGCTAAATATGGTCTAAGTTCTTCTTTTAGGTGTCGTTATAAACTAAATCATTTACCATTTAATTTTATTGGGCTTCTTTATAGTATCTCCATTTCTTTCTTATTTTGTTTTTGTTTCTGAGTTTTTATATATGTTTTTTTTTCTTTTAAATAAAAAAATAAAAATTAAAGAGTCGTTTGCTAGCTCGTGTAGTTAAATATGTTCATAAATGTGATATGCTTTAATTTAATGAAAGTTGGGGACGTGACCAGGAATAATTGTAGGTATATATCAAACATATAATTGCACCTGCACACATATGTAGGGTTTACCTTACAATAATTGGATTTAAAGTAATTCTACCTCAAAGTGATCCGACTTGATGGGAAATTTTTATCCAACCCCATCCACTGATGCTCCATCTAGCTTCATATTGTTCTCAGACCATCAATCCCTTCTTTCCCGTTTGTGCAACACAATGTGGTCATATCAAATCAGGTTTCTCAAACGAAGTGAAATGACAGAATTGTGCAAGTAAATTCTTGTTTACTGGAGATGAACACAAGGCCTTTGGGTTTGAGGTTGATTAATGGTTTAGATGGCCTCAGCTTTATTGTATCAAGAGACACCAAACGTATAGTTGCACCTATGTACCAAATTTCTTTTCCATGCTTCAGTGATTAAAAGGTAGTTCACTGCACAAAACTCCCATTAAAGTAGGGTCTAAGAAGGATAAGATATATGGAGTCTTTAATTCTAAGAGAAACTATTTCTGTGACTTACTCGTTCGGCAACATGCCGGTTTAGTTAAAAAGTTAAAAAATTATTAAAAAAGTTAAAAAATCAAAAACTCATACTAAAATGTCAAAGATTCTCTTTTTTCTTTACTTTTTGCACATCTTTTCGTAAAAAGTCAAAAAGTCATCCCAAACGACCCCTAGTGACCCCAGTGCCATTTGGTAGCCTGCCACTGGCTGAAACCCCAAAAAAAAAAAAAAAAATTTTTTTTTTGGCCAATCAGGGAAGACCCCAGCACCCCCACTGGGGGTCTAAATCATTTTTCTTTTTTTAACTCATATTTTAGTCAAATAATCAAAAAATTACTAAATTAACCTGTTCCTAAACGACATGTCACCAAAGATAGTAACTGCAAGGCTTCCGTCAGTAACTATTTCCCAAGAAATAGACTATTCTAAGCATCATGATTAACGACTTTTCTTACCTTTTTATTGTAGATGGGAATTATATTGTGTTAATTGTGTTTGCATCATGTTATCTCAAATTTGTGTTAAGATTCTCTCAATACTAATTCAACCCATGTCGTTTCATTTTGGATT